GAATATATATATATTATATATATATATATATATATATATATATATATAGTATATATATATATATTATATATATATATATGTATAAATATATTATATATATATATATATATATATAAATATATATATAATATATATATATATATATATATATATATATATATATATATATAAAATATATATATATAATATATATATTATATTATATTATATATATATATATATACCTGGAGTTTACCTGGAGAGAATTCCGGGGGTCAACGCCCCCGCGGCCCGGTCTGTGACCAGGCCTCCTGGTGGATCAAAGCCTGATCAACCAGGATGTTACTGCTGGCTGCATGCAATCCAACGTACGAGCCACAGCCCGGCTGGTCAGGTACCGACTTTAGGTGCTTGTCCAGTGCCAGCTTGAAGACTGCCAGGGGTCTATTGGTAATCCCCCTTATGTATGCTGGGAGGCAGATGAACAGTCTCGGGCCCCTGACACTTACGGTATTGTCTCTTAACGTGCATCGTCTGCCAAGTCTCTTGCTTTCGTTGTGAGTGATTTTCGTGTGCAAGTTCGGTACTAGTCCCTCTAGGATTTTCCAGGTGTATATAATCATGTATCTCTCCCGCCTGCGTTCCCTGGAATACAGGTTCAGGAACTTTAAGCCCTCCCAGTAATTGAGGTATTTAATCTCCGTTATGCGCGCTGTGAAGGTTCTCTGTACATTTTCTAGGTCAGCAATTTCACCTGCCTTGAAAGGTGCTGTTAGTGTGCAGCAATATTCCAGCCTAGATAGAACAAGCGACCTGAAGAGTGTCATCAAGGGCTTGGCATCCCTAGTTTTGAAGGTTCTCATTATCCACCCTGTCATTTTTCTAGCAGGTGCGATTGATATAATGTTATGGCCCTTGAAGGTGAGATCCTCCGACATGATCACTCCCAGGTCTTTGGCGTTGGTTTTTCGCTCTATTTTGTAGCCGGAATTTGTTTTGTACTCTGATGAAGTTTTGATTTCCTCATGTTTACCATATCGGAGTAATTGAAATTTCTCATCGTTGAACTTCATATTGTTTTCTGCAGCCCATTGAAAGATTTGGTTGATGTCCGCCTGGAGCCTTGCAGTGTCTCCAATGGAAGACACTGTCATGCTGATTCGGGTGTCATCTGCAAAGGAAGAGACAGTGCTGTGGCTGACATCCTTGTCTATGTCAGATATGAGGATGAGAAACAAGATGGGAGCGAGTACTGTGCCTTGTGGAACAGAGATTTTCACCGTAGCCGCCTCGGACTTTACTCTGTTGACTACTACTCTTTGTGTTCTATTTGTGAGGAAATTATAGATCCATCTACCAACTTTTCCTGTTATTCCTTTAGCACGCATTTTGTGCGCTATTACGCCATGGTCACACTTGTCGAAGGCTTTTGCAAAGTCTGTATATATTACATCTGCATTCTTTTTGTCTTCTAGTGCATCTAGGACCTTGTCGTAGTGATCCAGTAGTTGAGACAGACAGGAGCGACATGCTCTAAACCCATGTTGCCCTGGGTTGTGTAACTGATGGGTTTTTAGATGGGTGGCGATCTTGCTTCTTAGGGCCCTTTCAAAGATTTTTATGATATGGGATGTTAGTGCTATCGGTCTGTAGTTCTTGGCTATTGCTTTACTGCCCCCCTTGTGGAGTGGGGCTATGTCTGTTGTTTTTAGTGTGTGTGGGACGACCCCCGTGTCCATGCTCCCTCTCCATAGGATGGTAAAAGCTCGTGATAAAGGCTTCTTGCAGTTCTTGATGAACACGGAGTTCCATGAATCTGGCCCTGGGGCAGAGTGCATGGGCATGTCATTTATCGCTTGTTCGAAGTCATTTGGCGTCAGGATAACATATATGTAAGGAATTCGCAAGAGCAGGCGAAATATACACAAACACGGATCTCTGGCCGAAGGAGACTCGAACCTACGAACCTTGGAACAAGGTACGCAGTCCTTTACCATTCTCACCACACTGGACAATACCTTGGCGCCCAGCTTGCGCTAGACGTTGATCTAAGGCAGCCAGCTTTCAGGGAGAAGACTTACAGATTTTTCATCTCATCCCTTACATGCATCGACCAACTAGAGATTTTAACAATGCAAGGAATTCGCAAGAGCAGGCGAAATATACACTGTAAGCCTTCTTCCTGAAACTGTCTGCCTTGGATCAACGTCTAGCGCAAGCTGGGGGCCAAGGTATTGTCCAGTGTGGTGAGAATGGTAAGGCACTGCGTACCTTGTTCCAAGGTTCGTAGGTTCGAGTCTCCTTCGGCCAGAGATCAGTATATATATATATATATATATATATATATATATATATATATATATATATATATATAATATATATATATATATATATATATATATATATATATATATATATATATAAATGTCGTGCCGAATAGGCAGAACTTGCGATCTTGGCTTAAATAGCAACGCTCATCTTGCCATATAGGACAAGTGAAAATTTGTGTATGCAATAATTTCGCCAAAATCATTCTGAACCTAACGAAAAAAATATATTTCACGGTGTTTGTTTAGTATTAAATTACTGTAAACAAATCTGAAATATATTTAGTTGGGTTAGGCTAAAATAAATTGCTCTTGTTATAATAAGGTTAGGTAAGTTTTCTAAGTTCCTTTTGGTGCAAAATTATAAATTTTTACATCAACATTAATGAAAAAAATATATCTTTAAACGTATAAGAGAAAATTTTAGAAAGGACTTAATTTTAAATGAGTTCTTGCTAACTGACCAGTTTTACATATTCGGCACGACATATATATGTAAATATATATATATATATATATATATATATATATATATATATATATATATATATATATATATATATATATATATATATATATATATATATATATATATATAATATATATATTATACATACATATTATATATATATATATATATATATATATATATATATATATATATATATATATATATATATATATATATATATATATATTGACAAAACATTCACAAAAATATGATACAAAGTAAAACAACATAGGTAACTCAGAGCTACATCTCGAATACTTCGTCCAGCTCCCCTGCGGTGGGCCGCGTGCCCAGAATGCTGCAGGCATTTCCTCTCTGGATCGCAACACTGAGTCTCTGAAAGAGGAAGCTGGTCGCCCTGTGGTCCTTGGTTTCTATGATGAGCTTTTCACCCAGCTCTTTGAGGAACTTTAGAGCACACTTGCCCCATGCTCCAAGGGTCTCCGACCCTATTGGAATGAAGTTATAGCAAGGGGGAAGGTCTTCATATTTTCGGATCTTCTGGGTCTCCCTGTGGCTGGCAGCTCCACCCCCTTCCACTACAGAGTATGGCAAGTAGGTGTCTGCCAATGTGGCAGCACAGGTGTAGTCCCAGGCAATCTGCTTTCCATCCTTCCAGGGTAGCATAGTGGCTCCATCAGGACGCTTTTGACTTCCATCAGACCTCTGTACTTGGGGTTCCCGTTGAGCTGGGCAACGGGCTGTGGCGAGGCTTCTCTTTATTATGTCATTGATCTCCTCATGTCTGGCATACTTCCCTTCTGCTGTGTGGCACACGAGACCATGGAGTCCGAATTGATCAGCTGTCGCCCTGCCGCAAATACACCTATGTTCGGTGAGGATGGGGGCGGCTAGGCGAAGAGCAACACCAATCCGAATGGCCGGTGGGTCGAGACGGGTGCCCAGGGAGGAATTGGGAACAGCTAACAGGAAATCTCCTGAGTGTGGTGCCTTCACTGCCAGGAGACGAGCTTTGTTCTTTCCTGAAGCATTGGAGAGCATTGTGTTGGCGATTTTTTCCATGATCGGTTTGTCCCAGTGGGACTGTTTGTGCTGTTTGGGAGGAGCTGGTCTACTGGAGGAGTCTGTAAGGGTGTCCCACCGAATTGCTGCTTCAGTAAACCTGGGGTCTTGAGCTCCTACCAAGTCTCTCAAGCGTTCGGGCACTATCTTCTTGACTAATGCACTGGAAGCCAAACACGAAGACAGAAAAGCAGGTAAAGCAACATGCGTTGCTTTACGCACCCCTATACTCCCAGTCGCACTGGGAGGGTTGCCTGATCCCATTGCTCATCCTCTAGTGACAGGTTCAGTGCCTTCTTAAAAGTTGATCTCAGGTGTGCATCATATTCATCAAGTGTTGGGTTGTCAAAAGAGGGTGCACACCTCAAGAAGTAAGTGAGTCTTGGCATAGTAAGACACCTTGTGAGGAGATACAGAGCATCATGGGCATCAAGATCGCTTATTCTCTCCTCCATTTCTCATAAGGTCATTCAATTTGTCCCTGAGGACAGTATCGATGGCCTGGTGACCCAGCGGTTTGCCCCAAGAGGGTACTGTTGGACGGAGTTGTAGTTGAGATTTCCGGGAGGATTCTTCGAACAGCATTGATTATTTCCTGGTTCGCTGTGATGATTTCACACTTAGAGGGATGAGGATGAGTCCCAAGCCTTCTCCCTGTGTTTTCACCAGTTGTAGGTCCCCCACGAGGGACTCTTCAGTACCTGCCAGAGTGCCGTCATCCAGGTACCAGATATTGAGCTCACTGCGTAGGCTGGAAGTTAGAATATATATATATATATATATATATTATAATATATATATATATATATATATATATATATATATATATATATATATATATTATACACTTTTAGTTCTGAATGCTTCGCATGATTATTTACATATACATGTACACTTGAATATCCACATACATAAACAGTTCATGTCTTACGTAACTGATGAGACTCAAGTACCATAGCCAACTCGTCCTCCAGTTAGAAAAGTTCTTTTCTAACTCACGAAAATACGTCAATTTCTGCGCTAAGCAAATTTTATATAACGTATATTTCTTTCAGGGGAAGCGGCACATCCGTAGTGGTAGCAAGTTTGTTAACGCAACAAAATGAGTGCCTTCGCTATGTAGGTGTACAGTAACGCTGATTTTGGTTTTTCCCCTCCAGAGTGAGATAGAGGTCTCTTTACCTACAACAGTACCGCAGCAACATGAGGATTATCGCTTTATGGTTGTCACTAGGAGTGTGGGTCGGGTGTGGGTTGGAGGCTGGAGCCATAGAAGGATCCGGGAGACCCATGCATGTGAAGGGACACCACTCTTACCACCAAGTGAAGCAAGAGAGCAACAAGCACCATCACCACGTCCCCAAGAGGCCACAGCATACAGGCACTAAACCTAAACTACTACAAGACAACGACCTCTTGCACGACAGGCAGTACGTTCCTTTAGTGTTTGCAGTCAAGTCGTTTCTAGTCATGTCCATGTACTTGTAGAAATAAGAATTATTATTATTTTTCTTCTCTATCGAGTTCACTTCAGATTTGAGAGTTAATATGTAAGATGATGAAGTAGGTTTGTGCTAATTTTAGATAATTATTTATTTGTGGTTTGTTAGGTTTATAACCAATCGACTGCACGGAGGTCATTAAAGCTACGAACCATCTGTAGACTACCAAGCAAGAATATTTTAATCTCTTGGCTGTATAATTTACACGGGTTTGGTGTTTGTGTATAAACACCCCATACCTCTTTGTGTATACGTATACATATGCACGCCTCTCTCTCTTTCTCTACAAATACAAATTTCTTTCTTTTCTGTAGTATTCAGGTAATGTAGATTTACATATAATAAAATATTGTTAGGCACAAATGAAAGTCACTAGCATGCGGTTCATCTCTCTCTCTCTCTCTCTCTCTCTCTCTCTCTCTCTCTCTCTCTCTCTCTCTCTCTCTCTCTCTCTCTCTCTCTCTCTGAATAGGTATCCCAGTTGTCAGTGACCTTTCCCCTGGGTTTTCATACAATATTCACTCCAGCACCGACCAGCCATTTCCTTAGCCACTTCCTCATCTCCATCACGGTTATGAATCTCTCGAAAGCGTTCTTAAGGAACACATCGTTGATGCAGGAAAAAGCTCGGATGGCAAGTGAGATTTTATTGTCTGACAGGATGCATAGAGCTTTTCCTCTCACACAGTACTATTTGCAGACCAAGAACATTTTTTTTTTGTTCATTTTATTTCAAAGTCCAACCCTGTTGACGGTATACGTCTACCTCTCCTCAGGATGTTGCCTAACACGGTCTATTAATTCACAGGCGCCGGTTCACTGTTTGGTGAACAGTGACAGATACAAGGTGACTTACCCATGCGTCTCATCCCACCTGTGAATCGAGCCCAGGTACTGTTGGCTGTGAGCCGAACACTGTCAATGAACTGAATGCACATCTCAGTTGGTTAGGCTATGTCATGTCTACTGTAGCTCCAGGATCTCCAGTGAACACTAACAACCCTACTGTTACATCTACTTGTTTCAGACACCTGAAGGAGGAGCTGCCTGAATACTTGTCGCTGGAAAGGATCGAAAAAATGTCTGATAAGGAGCTGGATTATCACTACTTCAAGTAGGTCTTGCAGTTTGCTAAATGGTCAATGAAAAACAAATTTGCGTCAGCCGCAGGCTTTTTAAACACAGGTAGTCATTTCAATAACGGTAGACGCTTTTGGCAATATGAAGAATTAGACACGTGCAATACTCGTGTGTCTGTATTTGAATAAAGATACTCAGGTATTGCACATATTTCGAATTCCTCTCAGGGAGTCATTAAACATATGGACATCAACAACATCACTGATAAAAGAATAAGCAGCGGTGATCAGTGAGGACTGAGCCTCCACTTCCTGCGCTGAATGATCCTGTCGGGAAGCGCTTCACAATACTAAATATTATTCATATTGCTATCTTGAAAAATAAGTAATAATAAAAAGATATTTACGTTAATAAATACTCGTGGGAGTTGAGGGAAGTTAGCTGATTCACGAATCCATTAGCCGTCCTAAGTCTTGGGAAGGGGAAGGAGGGAAGTTGAGGTAACATGAGAATCAGGGGGTAGGTAGTACCTAGCCATGAGCCTACACCCATCGTTGCAATATTTTCTGTATCTGCTCTTAAATTATAAGTCGAATTTAGCGATGAAGCCTCTAGAGGCTAATATATCATACCACCTCTTATAAGTATTGTAGCTAAGGTTAGAGTTAGAGTAATTTAGTTCAGTATCTGTGATTACTCTTATCACAGCCTACACAAGTTGATAACAGGGCTACCCACTTGTGCCAGCGACCAGGGCGCCTCTCCTACCCACGTCAGTCACCCAAAAACACATGTGCGAGGAGTGCAGGTGACAGAACCTCGCCCAGTCACTCCGCTCTACTCCCCTTATAAAACAGTCTAGTTAATGAGGGTGACTTATCCTATACTAAACTAGTGCAGTAAAGAACATTAATATTTGTTATTACATTGCAACATGAATCATTATTATAATGAAAACGAAGCCCTAACCCTATTAGGGTCATACAGCTCTGCAGAGCAGAGGGTTTTGCTGGATCAAAGAGCAGCAAGGGTAGAGAGGAGAACAGAGGTAGAAATATAAAGGGGCTGTGAGGAGTATTAAAGGAAGTATCAATAAAACTTGTATAGTAAATCAGTTGCTGTCAAAAAGTCAAGGAAGGAAATGGAGTCAACGGCGGGTCTGTCAGCAAGGAGGGAAGATAAGGTAAGGGCGTTTGAATGGTGACGACTTCGGAGGTAAATTCTGCGTGCTCGTTGGTAGACTGGACAGTCCGATAGAATGTGGCAAATCGAAACTGGAACCTGGCAATTCTCACAGGGTGGAGCAGGACACCTCTCCATGAGATACCCATGAGTAAGATGAGTGTGCCCGATGTGAAGATGGGAGGGTGTAGTGTCCCAACCTTGGCATCGATGGAAAGATGTCCAGAAACCTAAACTTGGTTTGATAGAGTGTAATTTGTTATGAGTCATATCAGACTAATGTTGCCAACGAATGCGAAGTTGGTTAGAGATTACAACAAAATAGTCTGTGAATGGAATACCTCTGTATGAAACTGGGCGGTCATGTACTGCTGACCGCGCAGCGGTGTCTGCCTGTTCATCGCCCTGAACATCAACATGACCAGAGACCCAATGCGGCATAACCAAAGTTGTATACGAAGTACCAGGGGATAAGACGAATAAATTTTTTAGTAGCTTGCAAAGCACTAAGGTAGTCTGAGTCAGTCTACTACAAATGTCGAGGTAGGCACAGATTCAATACGGATAATTGTTATGAGAACTGCATACAATTCAGCTGTAAATATGCTAGCCGAGTCTAAAAAATACCCTCGAACTATGCTGTCCTGAAACAATGCTGCAAATCCGACCCTGTCAGAAGATTTAGAACCATCAGTGTACACTGCAATGGAATGAAAATGAGACCAAAAGTGATTAAGTAAAAGGGAGAAAGAAGCAACTGTAGGTATTTGAGCTGTCGCTCATGGCAGTGGGGAAGAACAGAAACAAACTGTAGGAACTTCGCAAGGGGTAAGGGAAAAGTTACATGCTAGATAAACATATACGACAAGGTCCTAGATGCACTAGAAAACAAAAAGAATGCAGATGTAATATATACAGACTTTGTAAAAGCCTTCGACAAGTGTGACCATGGCGTAATAGCGCACAAAATGCGTGCTAGAGGAATAACAGGAAAAGTTGGTAGATGGGTCTATAATTTCCTCACAAACAGGGGGCAACTAAAGAGAAGACAATAGTGAATGTAGACGAAGAGAAAAGGGACGGAATAAGCAGGGGCGATAAACAAACAATGAACCTCTTTTAATGTCCATTAATATCCTGTATATGGAAGGATTGCGAAGGTCATGAGAGTGGACAAAATAGCACAGGCAATGAGCATTATGGCGATCATTCAAGGATGGAATATTCGCCTCTACATATAGGCTCTCAGTAGGTGAGGAGCAAAAATCACCTAGACATAAATGTAATCCTGATGATGGATGGGGCCAAGTTTAGAAAGAGTTGCAGGAGAGGCCGCTGAATATATCTGATCGCCATAATCTAGTTTCGATAAAATCAGGGCCAAATGCAGTCGAAGGAGAGCTCAACGTCAGCCCCCCATGAAGGATGAGTGAAAGTTTTTAAGGAGGTTCAGTTGGCTATGACAAGTTGCCTTCAAGGAGGTAATGTGGGTTTTCCAGGATAACCGACGGTCAAACAGAAGGCCGAGAAACCTGACTGTATCACGTTCAGGGACACATGACCCATACAGGTACAATGGAGTATCAGGGACAATAGAACATCTAGTGAATGTAATTTGGTGTTTTAGTACCAGAAAATTTAAACCCATGGGTAGTGGCCCAATTGGAAACTAGGTTGACAACGATCTGGAGAGAAGCTGCAATGGGGCGACAGTCAACGCCTGCACAAGCCATAGCGAAGTCGTCAACGTATAGTGATGACCAAATATAAGATGGAAGGACAGATGCCATATCATTTATAGCAAGGAGAAAAAGTGTGGCAATAAGGAGACATCCGAGGGGGACACCCTCAGCTTGGACAAATTCAGGGGAAAGCAGATTATTTACTCAAACATGGAAATGTCTCTCAGATAAGAAGTTCTTAAGGAAAATGGCAGATTGCCTCGGAGGCCTAAGGAGTGAGCTTGGGCCAAGATGTTATATCTCCAAGTAGTGTCGTATGCCTTCTCGAGATCAAAAAAGACTGTTATAACAAAGTGGTTACTAGCTCTCGTGTGCTTAAATCAAGGAGGCACTCTGTGGTCCTTTTGTAGCAATATTGGCCTCATGCAGAATGTTTCAAATATATCACACGAGCACAAGCAAGAGACCACCAAGGCACGCATTTCTAAGAATTCCTGCTCTTGGTTCGGGGTATAGAATATGAAGCCAAGGTTAAAACTGATATCACCAGTTTGATGTGAGTACAGGTCCCAGTTCACTCTGTCAAATTGCCAACATGGGCTTTGAGGAGACTGAAAATTCGAATGGGAAGTAAGGAGGATAGGAAAATGATTGTTATAATGTAAATCCGGGAGTACAGACCAGGTGCAGTTGATGAAGAGCAAACTGAGAGATCGATGCAAGAAAGAGTTGAGCGTGAAGGTCAAAATGGGTGGGAATACCTGTATTTAAAACATGGAGGGGGAGAAAAGTGAGAAGAACCTCTAAATGAATGTCACGAGAGTCACAGTGAGACCCCCCTAGAGAAAATGGTGAGCATTAAAATCGTCTAATAACAGAAGCGAAGAGATATATAAAGAACAGACTGTATACCACTTATTCAAGTAGATGCATGCTGCAGTGTAGTGCAGTGAAGTGTGAACAAAGATCTAATGGTATGGTATACCACTGCATACAAGAAGTGCATTTTCATTAAATGTTCCATCGTAAAATGGATCCAATGAATGTAATAAAATATAGCCAGAGACAGGATGGATAACAGTGGAGCATAATCAGGGTTCTTGTTAACGAGCACAAACAGGGTAAAACTGGAAGAGCAAAACCTGGGGCTCACCATGATTTCTCTGAGACCTCGGATATTCCACTGTAAATAAGCCATGATTTGTGAAGAGAAGGTATCTTTTTTCTTTTTCTTTTTAGAAAAGAAGAGAAAAAGAAAGAAAAAAGACAAAAGGGAGGGGGAAAATGGAGGGGTAGCTCCTAGGAGGAATGAAAGGGCCATAAATCCCCTTCTGCACCCAAGAAAACTTCAGCACAGCTAGCAGTGCAGATGCAGCATGGAATCCATGCCATACCCTGCCTTTCATGCCAGTAAACCAGCAATCTGGGATAGCAACCTCACTTCTACCAGGCCACCTCGGTGGATAAAAAAGATGGCAGTCGGTTTCCCGCCACGAGGTAAAACCTTCTTCAGCCACCACCTCCGACAGGCAGCCTCCAGAGATACACCCGTTACCTGAAAGACACCCAGACTGGAGACACGGTAGACTGGAGAGGGATCGGGACATCTCCAGATGATCCAGATTCCATGGCAAACTATATTACTACCAAGGACCTCAACGAAATGGGATGCACCATGGTACCCTTCCCCCCAACCTAGGAACTAGAATGCCTGAGGGAAGGACCCCAAAAGCTTCAAACAGAAAAGGTAAAGGGGAGGGATGGGGAGAGGAGGATGAATGGGAAAGGAGGGATGGGGAAGATGAGGCAGGGAAGGGGGTATTGGGGGTAATTAGGTTTGGTCGGAGGAAGTAGACTGATGGTCCAATTCTTCAGACAAATAGCCTCTTCGCCGTGGCAAGAAACCCCCCCCCCCTTTAAGAGGCAACATGAGCTAGACTACTCTTCACATTCACCTTGCGTAACGAATCCGCGGCTTCTCTCATACAGAAAGGCCGGTTGCAGATCAGTGACCCATAGATGTATCTCACGGTGTTCATAACTGAGCTAACGACACGGACCCCGACACCTCACGATAATATCTGTTAACAGTACCCTTGAATGCACAATTATATGTATGTTACTGGCACTACCCTTCATTTCATCAGATACAACACTACACTCACATACACTGCCCTGTATGGAATCAGAGATAAGCAACCCAGTTTTCTGGAAACGGGATGGCAGGTTTCCCTGGACTGGATTCAACTAATTACTTGATTGGATAATTGACGAATTAGTCATACATCTACACATATACCTTCTATTTTACAGAATAATAATCAACTGTACCTACATTTTCCTTGGCGTGTTTCAGAATCCATGACTATGATAACAACTTCGGTCTTGACGGGTTAGAGCTGCTGGCAGCCATTGTTCACATAGCCGCTGACGACGACGACGATGACGAGGTCATCATAGACGAAGAGAAATTGAAGGGACTCTCTCAGCAGGAGAGGAAGATCCTGCAGGACCACCGCCAACAGAAATGGGATGAGAAGTTGAAGTTTTACACTGGTGCGTACAAAAACCTAAGGTCGTGTTAAAACTGCAATTACAAAGACGGTAAAGCGACACATACCGCAGATGAGATCTGCATGAGGCTTTATTAAGTATTTGGTAAAGCTTCATGTAAGTGAAACATCGTGTCAGCTATGCTAAATTTCAACTAGTAATGAGGCTTTCTGTAATTAAGTGGATGATTAATTATATCCCGTTAAATGCCCATTTATTAAGATTATAACTATTATTCTAATTATATTATGATTATCATTATCAATATGAGGTATTAAATCTTGGAATTGTTTCACCAGCTGTTTGCCAGTCGTTAAATTCTTGTTGCAACAGTGATAATACACGAGGCTTGAATATCAGTAATTCAGCACTGGTTAAAACTGCTGGTATTGATGAATGAGACAGTTGTGTAACACCTAGGTATCTTTGTTGTGGAAACGTTTCGCCAGTCAGTGATTAAGTCAGTTCAACACAGAGAAGAACGGTGAAAGATGAGGAGGAGTTCCAGGTAATCAATCCCTCAGCCTGGAGTTATGTGCTCAGTCTTATCAAGATTGATGGATTGAACACACTGACTCTAGGCTGAGGGACTAAATAGCTCATTTTTCATCATTATTCTCTGTATTGGACTGATGAAACTACCGGTTAGCGAACGTTCCCACATTATACTCAAGCGTTGTAAAAGTCTCATTCAAGCTGTTTGTTTTCTAAATTTACATAATAATAGTAACAAGTGCTAGTATAGCTTAGAGGTGTTCGGTTATTATTATTATTATTATTATGTTATTTTATGTCAAATGGTGAGAGTTATCGTAACTTTCTCATATGACAGAATTGGTGGACGACGTGTTGGACGAGAACGACAACAACAAAGATGGGTACCTGTCGTGGGGAGAATTTCGACTGGCCCAAAACCGCAGGAAATAACTTTGCCTAGGCAGCCTCCGCCGTCCAGCAGCTGGATTACGCCCTGCCACTTTACCCTCACCCTCATAACAGTCCACTCACAAAACCTGTTCGTAGCCTATCCTACCTTCCTCGCTTACTCCTATAGTTTTTTATTTTTCGCGTACATGATGTCCACGTTACGTCTCATGTAGGATGGAAGGTAACTTAGGTAGTAAAGCTCTCTGCTGACCTCTATCGTACTTGAGGCTCTCGTTGGTGCTTTATCAAGTACGACAAGGCTCCACCGAAGGCAGAATGTACTTAATGTAAAAGGCTTGCTCTGTCCACGTGTCTGATTCACCTTTTATAAATTACATAATAATGATCTTACTGTAGTTAGTATCACGTCCAGATAGAGATATATTGTCAGAAAAATACATGTGTACCAATACCTTATTATTGCATTAATACTATATTCATGGGAAAGAGAGCTAAACCCGTAAGGCCGTACAGTTTAGGAATGGGAGGAAATCTGATCTGGGCCGAGGTAGAGGAAAGCAGCATCAATTCCTTGGATCAAGACTCCTTCAGCAGCATCTTTCAGGGAGTTTATACTGTTTAAAATCCTCGCATCAAAAGGGTATACCAAAAGTCCCTCACACAAAGAATACTTCAAGGGGATTACAACAAGGTATTGTGACTCGCGATTACCTAACGAAGGCTCGAGCCTTTTAAACTGCTTGCGGGGAATTACTCTTACTAGTTTAACGCTTTACGTAAAATCCTCACGCAAGTTTTTTGTTGAAACTCGTTATCCAAGAAGTGTGTTCTCCATACCTATAATTATGGGTGTTCGTAATGCCAGACTAGTCACCAGTGACTTCCGTTATGCCAGACTAGTCATCAGTGACTTCCATAATGTCAGACTAGTCACCAGGGTATCAGATCAACGCAGCAGGAGCTGTTTCAATCACTGCTACCATTAACCCAACAGTTCGGTGTCCTCTTAACTCACACACGCAACCTAACTCCACCTCTCTCTCGCCGCTGTAAATTCCAACTTAATGGCTATAATCATAACCGTAATTTTTAAAAAGGTGGACTGGAATGCCAGTGGAAGGCCTCTATCAAACGACCAAAAACTCTAGCTGCGGGTAATCATATGGCTACGACCCGAGTCAGGAAACCCTTATGTCTCCTGACGAATAAAACAACCGCCCTCTCATCAGGTGGGCAGGTGTTGCGGTTTGCAATACCTGCCTTGCCCAATTACGTGGGCAGGTGTTGCTGACAGCAACGCCTGCCTCGCGCATCCAGGTGGGAAAGTGTTGCTGACAGCAACACCTGACTAGCTCCCACCTTATCACGTTCATGGAGGGGAGCGGTAAACCCGTAGGGAGGGGGTCACAGCGCCTGAGTGGGGGGTTAGGAATGAGAATCAAATTCGATCCAATTAAGGGGACAACAGGTTAAGCTCCTTGAATCAAGATCCTCCCAGCGGCATCAAGGAGCCTTGCCCTGAGGAGCCTAGCGCTCACAGAACTCACTTCCTTCCTCGGCCTGAGGTTTCAGCTGAATTATGGTAATTACCCCATTAATATGCACAAGACGTCTGCACGACCCCAAAAATCATTATATCAGAACTTCATTAAGAACGCTGGACTGCGTTCATTGGAAGCGCTAAGCTCGTAAGAGAGGTTATACAGCGCCTTGGGAGTGGGAGGTAATCACGTACGATGTAATGAAGGTAAGAGTACATCCATCTCCTCGGATCAGGAGTCCTTCGCTGGCATCAAGGCTCACATCTTGAATGATCGAGGGCACACACACACACACACACACACACACACACCACACACACACACACACACACACACACACACACACTGTAAGTGAGTAAACGAGATGATGGGATATGTGACAACAGTTTGCAAGGAAGCTGAGGAGAGGTTTGTACCCAAGGGTAACAGAAATAACGAGAAAACCAGGATGAGCCCTTGGCTCACCCATAGGTGTAGAGAGGCCAAAACCAAGTGTGCTAGAGAATGGAAGAAGTATGGAAGGCACAGGAACCAGGAGAATAAGGAGAAAAGTCGTAGAGCCAGAAATGAATATGCATCGGTAAGAAGGGAGGCCCAACGATAATATGAAAATAATATAGCAGCGAAAGCTGCTGTTGTACAGCCACATCAGGAGGAAAACAACAGTCAAGGACCAGGTAATCAGGCCGAGGAATGGAGGAGGAGAGATCACAAGAAACGACCGCGAATTATGTGAGGAACTCAACATGAGATTCAAGGAAGTGTTGACAGAGGAGACAGAAGGGATTTAGAAAGACGGTAGAGGTGGGGTACACCACCAAGTGTTGGCCACAATACATACAACCGAGGAAGAAGTGAAGAGGCAGCTAAGTGAGCTAGATACCTCAAAGGCGATGGGGCCAGATAATGTCTCCCCTTGGGTCCTGAGAGAGGGAGCAGAGGTGCTATGTGTACCCCTAACAATAATGTTCAGCACATCTTTCGAAACAGGGCGACTACCAGAGGTATGGAAGATAGCAAATGTAGTTCCAATTTTTAAAAAAAGGAGACAAACACGAAGCATTAAACTACAGACCAATGTCACTGAGACGTGTAGTATGCAAAATCATGGAGAAAATTATCAGGAGAAGAGTGGTGGAACACTTAGAAAGGAATGAGCTTATCAACGACAACCAGCACGGTTTCAGGGACGGGAAAGCTGGAGGACCAGGCAGGGATAACAGGGAAGGCACTGCAATGGATCAGGGAACACCTGTCAGGAAGACAAGAGCGAGTCATGGTGCGTGGCGAGGTGTCAGAGCGGGCGCCTGTAACGAGCGGGGTTTCACAGGGGTCAGTCCTAGGACTGGTGCTGTTTTCGGTATTTGTGTACATGACGGAAGGAACAGACTCCGAAGTGTCCCTGTTTGCAAATGATGTGAAGTTAATTCAGTGGGATGAGAACCAGGCAGAACTACAAAAGGACTTGGAAAGGCTGCAGGCCTGGTCCAGCAACTGGCTCCTGGAGTTTAACCCCTCACCAACTGCAAAGTCATGAAGACTGGGGAAGGGCAAAGAAGACCGCAGACAGAGTACAGTCTAGAGGGCCAGAGACTACAAACCTCACTCAAGAAAAAGGATCTAGGGGTGAGTATAACACCAGGCACATCTCATGAGGTGCACATTAACCAAATAACTGCTGCAGCATACGGGAGTCAAGCAAACCTAAGAACAGCATTTCGACATCTTAATAAGGAATCGTTCAGGACCCTGTTCACTGTGTACGTTAGACCCATATTGGAGTATGCAGCACCACTTTCGAACCCACACCTATCCAAGCATGTAAGAAAACTAGAGAGGAGAGGTTAAGGGAAATCGACCTGATGACACTGGAAGACAGGAGAGATAGGGGGGATATGATAACGACATATAAAATACTGAGAGTAATCGACATGGTAGACAGACACAGGATGTTCCCGAGATGGGAGACAGCAACAAGGGGTCACAGTTGGAAGTTGAAAACTCAGATGAATCACAGGGATGTTAAGAAGTATTTCTTCAGTCACAGAGTTGTTAGGAAGTGGAATAGTTTGGGAAGTGATGTAGTGAAGGCAGGATCCATACATAGCTATAAGAAGTATGATAAAGCTCATGGAGAAGGAAGAGTGACCTAGTAGCGACCAGCGAAGAGGCAGGGCCAGAAGCTGTGACTCGACTCCTGCAACCACAACTGAGTACAACTAGGTGAGTACACACACACACACAATATACACACCATATAAATGCATATGCCACACACACACACACACACACACACAACACACACACACACACACACTCCTCTCTCTCTCTCTCTCTCTCTCTCTCTCTCCCCCTAATCTCTCCCTGCTGCTGTCCCCCTACCTCCCACCTCATATACTTCTCCCCTGCCTCCCATATATCCCCTAGTACCCCTTAAATCTCTCCCTGCCACTGTCCTTCCCTCCTATCTCATATCCTTCTCTCCCCTGCCCTGCCTCCCCCCCCTTCCCCTCTGTACAACACCCAGCTATCACAAACACTCACTCGAAATCTCATAGGTTTGTTCTGGGGTTCAATGGGTTACCCAAGAAGGCCGAGAACCAGGGGGCTGGTGAAACCTGGGAGGGAAGATTGGGAGGCAAAGCTCAAAAAAAGGGAGAAAGAGTGGGGAAGGAAACTAGAAGAGCCTGGCAGGAAAATGGAGGAGAGGATAGCTGCAGAGAGCAGGAAGTGGGAGCAACAAGCCATAGAAGCAGAAGCTAAGATACAGTGCTTAGAAGAGGAACTGAGAAACCTGAAACAGCTTAAAGAGGAAAATGATGGTACAGACATAACATCAGGAACTTCTGCATGAGGCACAGACAAGGGGCCTGGAGGAAGCATAGATGTTATACTGCATTCAAGGGTTCTATCAGACCCACATGGGGCCAAGGCAAAGATGAGGAGCACACTAGGAGCAAATGAGAGGTCTGAAGACAATGAAGAGGCTATGACATATGCAGAGACTCGAACAGACACCTGCAGGGGCCAGGAAGAGCTGAGCAGGAAAGACAGTCCATTGAGCATAAGGGCCTCAGCCAGGGAAAGGGTTGAAGGAAGAAAGGAACACTCCAATGGAAGGAACTAAAACACCTCATAGGATGCAATGGGAGACACAGTGGGAGGAAGAAAGGGCAAAATCACTTTTTGTCTATGGGCTCCAGGAAGTTGAAGGGGAAACCTATGATGAAAGGAAACAGGAGGAGAAAAAAGTGATTGAAGGTATCATGAAAGCAAAAGGTGAGGGCGACATGACCCAGGTGGTAAATTTTCGGAGAATTGGGTGGTTTGCATGGGGACGGAAACGGCCTCTCAAAGTAATTTTCAAGACAGAATCAACTCGACTGAGAGACAAACAAGAGTACCAGAGTGTGTACCTCGATCGAGACAGAACACAAGAGGAAAGGTTGATACTGAAAGAGAGAGTACAAAAACGAAAGGAGGAACGAGAGGAAATGACAAAGGTGAGCAGAAGAATCCAGATGCAGGTGGAAGGGCAAACACACCCTCCAGAAACACCTGCAGAAGGACTCCAACTGCAGAAACACCTGCAGAAAGACTCCAAGGCTGCCCTCTGCCCTCACCCCCCACACCACAAACCCCACCCATATAGCAACCCATTATGGGAGCTCTGGACCCACCCCTACCACACCCCCATAGGCCCCTGCCAGGGCTCCTGATCCCCCAACCCCAATCTTCTCTCAGGATCACAGTATTAGAAAAGAAGTTGATGGTTTGGTACATGAACGCAGATGGAATAACTA